GGGCAAAGGAGATAGGATTACAACCAAGAATCACCTACCCAGCAAAAGTGAGTATAATCCTTCAAGGGGAAAAATGGACATTCAGTGAAACAGAGGACTTCCTAGCATTCTTGATGAAAAGACCAGAGCTAAAGAGAAAATCTGACTTTCAAATACAAGACTCAAGGGAAGCATGAAGAGGCAAACAGGAAAGAGAAATCATAAGGGACTTATTAAAGGGGAACTGTTTACATTCCTGCCTGGAAAGCTGATACTTGTAACTCATGAGACTCTTCTCAGTATTAGGGTAGTTGGAGGGAATATATATAGACAGAAGGCACAGGGTGAGTTGAATATGAAGGGATATCTAAAAAATAAAATTAAGGGATGACAGAGAATTGTACTGTGAGAAGGAGAAAAGGAGAAGTAGAATGGGGTAAATTCTCTCACCAAAGGAGGAGGAAAAAGCTTTTACTGTGGAGGGGAGGGGGGGAGCAGGGAATGAGGGAATCTTGCTCTCATCAGGTTTGGCTTAAGGAGGGCACAAGATACACGCTCACTTGGGTGTGGGAATCCATCTCGCCCTTCAGAAAATGGGGAGGGATGGGGACAAGAGAGCAGGGGATGGCAGAGGGGAGGGCAGACTGGGGGAGGGGGTGATGAGAAGCAAACGCTTCCGAGGAGGGACAGCGTCAAAGGAGAGAGGAGAATGAACGGGGGGGGGGATAGGATGAAGGGAAACAGAGGTAGTTTTTCACAACATGAGTACTATGAAGTGTTTGGCATCCTACACACGTATAACCTGCATGGAGTTACCTGCCTTCTCAATGCGAGGGGTGCAGAGGGAGGGAGAGAATTTGGAACCCACAGTTTTAAAAGCAGCTGGGAAATTAGATACACCGACAATGGGGTAAAGAAATCTATTCTGCCCTATAGGAAAACCGAAGGGGATAAGAGAAGGTGGGGTGGTGACAGAAGGGAGGGCAGATTGGGGGAAGGGGTGTTCGGAATGCACGCCATCTTGGGAGGGGGAGGGGAGAGATGGGGAGAAAATTTGGAGCTCAAAATCTTGTGGAAGCGAATGTTGAAAATCAAAAATAATTTATTTTTAAAAAAGAAAAAAAGAGGGAGCCATCCCCTCATTTTTAAAGGTCCCATTCTGGTGCCTTCAGGGGGGCTCTGGAATTCCTCCCATTTGTGTGACTTCATAGGAGTGTGGAGATGCCCTCCTACCTGGACATTCACTGCCCCTCTGAGACAGGAAGCTGCCTAAGACTCAAGAAAAATGACTCATCCATGGTCACACAGCTAACGCCTATCGGAGGAAGGATCTTTAGGACTCCCAAGGCACAGGCCACTCACCGTGGCATGCTGCCTCTCTCTGACTGGTCAGCTCCATTCCAAACATCCTAGGTGACAGATGTAGCCCTATCACCCAGCACCACAATGGCCAGGGCATGAGCTGCCTTTTCCCTCTCTTTAGATTGCCAGCGCCTGGCACACAGTAGGCCCTTAATCAGTGCTTACTGACTGACGTGCAGCCACCCCTGCTGTTCACCTGCACACAGTAGGCTTGCTCCTAGTATGCAGAGAAAGCAGACCCTCTCTCATCGTCCCAAGACTTGCTCTCCACTAACACCAGGCCGGCGTTCGCAGGGCCCTCCAGCTTCACGTCTCACTGTCTGGAGAATTCTAAGCACGAGTAACAGTCACTGATCAATATTTGCTGAACTGAATAGAAACAACGCTGCAAAGGTACGATCATGTCAGAACAGGAGAAGTCCGTCCAGGCACCCACAGGCCGCACCAAACTTCTCAGGAATCTCTTCTGCAGCAATGAGGCATTCTGAAAGGCAGCTGGCCTGCCGCTGGCACCAGCCCAGCACCATCGGCAGTCAGGAAGGCTGGGAGCCCCTGAGCAGGCCTCGTCCCACAGTCCAGGTGCTGGCAGTGGTGGCCAGTAGGTCACACTGTACGTTGGTACCCACAGATGGCCCTCTGGCTGCGGGGCTGGTGTCCAGGCCAGGAGATGGCATCTGAGCCAGGGGCTGTCTCTTGGGTCTCCCCTGTCCAGCCTCTCCTGTACGTTTGTCTCTAAGCACGTCATCTTTTTTTTTTAATCTATTTATTTCAATTTATCAACAATCACTTCCACAAGCTTTTGAGTTTTAAATTTTTTAATTTTTCTCCCCCTCCTTCCCCAAGTCGGCATGCAATATGATACAGGCTCTACATCCCTATTAAACATTTTCACATTAGTGATGTTGTAAGGAAGAATTAGAATCAATAGAAGGAACCACCAGAAAGAGGAAACAAAACTAAACAGAAGACAAAAAAGAGCAAACAGAATACTTCGATTTGCATTCGGACTCCACAGTTCTTTCTCTGGACGTGGATAGCATTTTCCATTATGAGACCTGGAGACTCGCAGATCCCTGTATTGCTAAGAAGAGCTAAGTCTATCAAAGTTAGTCATCACACAATGTGGTTGTTATTGTGTACAACGTTCTCCTGGTTCTGCTCACTTCACTCAGCATCAGTCCATACAAGTCTTTCCAGGTTTTTCTGAAGTCATCCTCCTGCTCATCATTTCTTATAGCACAATAGTATTCCATCACATTCGAATACCACGACTTGTTCAGCCATTCCCCAATCGATGGGCATCTTCAATTTCCAATTCTTTGCCACCACAGAAAGAGCTGCTATAAATATTTTTGTACATGTGGGTCCTTTTCCCATTTGTATCATCTCTTTGGGATACAGCCCTAGAAGTGCTATTGCTGGGTCAAAGGGTATGCACTGTTTTATAGCCCTTTGGCCATAGTTCCAAATTGCTCTCCAGAATGGCTGGATCAGTTCACAACTCCACCAACAAGTATGTCATCTTTTACAAAGGCTAGCTTTCTGTAGAGGCTACAGGCCCATGATCCTTTCCTTCTTCCTAGAAACTGAAATCTGGCAGCCCTTAGGGTCTGGCTTCAGGTCCCAGTACTGACATCCAATGCCTGTTGGATACTTAGAGCTGTTTCTTTATTGCCTCTAAAGTCTCTTTCTCTTTCTCTCTCTCTTCCTCCCTCTCTGTTCTTCTTCTTCTTCTTCTCTTCTTCTTCTTCTTCTTCTTCTTCTTCTTCTCTCTCTCTCTCTCTTACACACACACACACACACACACACACACACACACACACACACACACACACACACACACAGAGTGAGAACTGGAGCAGGGAGCACGGGGATGCCCCCAGGCACGAGGCTCCCTACCTCCCTTTCCACTCCCACCTGCCCTAATTTCCAGCCTGGCCCTGGCAGAACAGAAGACAGCCCCAGCTTGGCCAGCCCTCTGCCTCCAGGCAGGCAAGCATACAGTCTTCTGGGAGTGGCCTCCCCTCACTGAGGGCCTTGGGTTTATTTGGCATATAATTATTTATGGACATGCTGCCTCCCTCTAGAAATAAAGGCTTCATGAAGGCAGGAATTGGCTCACCTTCCAAGCCTGGCACAGAGGAGACATTTAACAAAAGCTTGCTGGTTAAGGGTTTTCACTGCACGAAGATGAGGAAGTGAAATTAAAAGACCCCTCTTAGGCCTGCCCCCTCTTTTCCACTCCAATCTATTCATCCACAAGCATTTATTAAGTGCCTACGACAGCCAGGTACTAGAGACATAAAGGTAAAGACCAAGTGGTCCGGCTCTCCCTGGAAAGGCCATGAGTACACATGGAATAACCCCAAGGTAGTCTGGAGAGTGCAGCCCCAAGCACGTGGAAGAATAAAGCATGGAAGAAAAGAGAGTCACACTCGGGTGAAAAAGAGCCTTCGTGCACAAGGACTGTAGTAAAAACTACATTTCAGAGGAAAACCCACTCGGGTGTCAGATCCTTCACAGAAGAGCTCGAGCCACAGAGGGGACTCCGGGCTAACAGACCCTGGCAAGCACCAGGTGCCTGGGCCTCTGCCACAAGAGCTGCAGAGGAGGAGGGGCCGAGGAAGGGGCCTGGCCACAGGCCTCTGCTCCGTCCTCCTTTCTCCTGACTGCCCCCTTACCAAGGAATCTCATGCTGGGTTAGCCCCAGGGTGAAAGCAGAAGCAGGCCAAGAAAAAGGAGGAAAGAAGGGAGTGAAATCCCAAGAAGTGCAAGGAAGGAAAGGGGAGGTCACCAGACTGGTCAAATGCAAGTTGGTCACCCATCAGTTAGGTATTACCGTCTGCGCCTGGAAGTATGGCGCCCCTAAGGAGCTTATGATTTTACGAAGCAATGACACAGTAACCTGGGAACGTGATTCAATAAAGTCAAAAAGAGATAGGCAAGTGCCTTCTGTTTTGGGAATGCCAAGACCTGGAAATCAGACATTTCAGTTAGCAACAGTCAATACCCCTCCCGCTTTGTGGGGAAGGAAGTCTGTGCCCTAGGAAAATCAGTGCCCAGCGAATATCATGTCACATTCTCAGACTTAAGGACGAATCAGCCTGACTCAGCCTGGCCACTCGGCTCATCTGAGACAGAGCTCTGAGGTGCCTCCACCGGTCACAGCAGGTCCCAGACCAGGAACATTTACTTAGATTTTCAACTTTTCTCCCTGGACGCTTTTTCATGGACTATTCTCCTGAGGTCTCCATTAAGGCTCTCCTCACCCCGTGATGACCGTAGGCTTTCAAAGGCTATGCCCAGCTGGACAGGCTTCAAGCACCCACCCGTCCCTGAACTGCATGCCTGAAATCTGAGGACCAGAGTCCTGGAATTCAGAGCCACCACCAGACTGCTGGCCACCAGGTGATGACTTTGTCTGGACATAGTAACTCTTGGAAGTTCATTCATTCAAGCCAAGGGGAATGTCATTTACAATGGAAGGATTATCCATCCTAATGTCAGTAATGCTTGAAAGAATAAAGTGCTTTCACAGAATAATCACATGCAACTTGTAAACTGTAATGGCTACCTAAAATTAGAAACACACGCACTGCAGGACTACTCTGCCAGAAATAAGAAAATCTGGGGAAAGCTAATACAAGAGTCTGTGAAGTAGGTTCCCATATTAGAAACCTGTTTTAGTAAAACAGAATTGGTGAGGGGATTTTGGTTAACCCTATGGAATTTTACTGTACGGACCTCTTGCCCCACAGCACTGTACAATCTTGTCTACTGGTACGTCCACCTTCTATAACCTTCAGGCTTCCAAAATTACCAGGGTCCCAGATACAGGCAGAAAAAAAACCAAAAGCCGCGGCAGCCTCTCAGCACTGAGCACAAGCCTGGGAGATGATGTCTGATGTGCTCTGCTCGCTTTGGTTCTGTTAATGAAAGGAAATGTGTTCTGCCTGACTGGCACAGTCTATAAAAAGGCCGATGTTCTCAGGGAGAAGAGCCCAGGAAGCAGACAGAGAGAGCAGCAGCCAGGAAGGGGGGAGTGGACCCAAGATGCACAAGGGGCCCAGACAGGCTCCACGGGTCAGGCCCCCCACCAGGCAGGTCAGCCTCCACAGCACAAGATAATAATGTCAGAAAGCAAGCACAAGTTACAGTCCGTTTCAAAAAGATTTCTATGCCAAAACAGCTAAAGCCATTTCAGTATAAACACCCACCCATTTAGAACCCTGGCCTAGCCCAGAGTGACTCCTTCTCCATGACGACCAGAGAACCAATAATAATAACCCCTAGTAACCCCATCAGGAGGTGTTACCAGATGAAGCTGGCAAGGCAGGAGGTAAAACCCACCACCACCACACCACGCTGGATACGTCGAGGTCCCTGGCCTGCTCCGACTTCTTCAGGGCCTTACTAATGCCTCGAGAATAGACTGTGAACTGCTCAGCCTGGCATTTCAAACCTCCCACTAACTGGCTCCAATTTCCCTTTCCAGCCTTGTTTCAGATATTCGATATCATGGTCAGACTGGACTATTCACTGCCCCTCGCAGGTGGCCCCTCGGACTTCATTTTCCTTTATCTTCCTGCGGGAATTCTTCTCACGTTTCAGAGCTCAGCTCAGAGGCCACTCACTTTCACGATGCCTTCCCTTCGAAGGCGTGAATGCTCTTTCCTCAAGTTACCTCAAAATCTCTTTTGAATCCCCTGAATCTCTCACGCCTATTACATGCTTATTGCCAAACTGAATATTGAAGTTCTTCTGCTGACTACCAAAAGTGGTGCTGTCCTAGGATTTGATTCATTTCTCTCTCTCTCTCTTTTTTTTTTCCTTTTTAGGCAATTAGGGTTAAGTGACTTGCCCAGGGTCACAACAGCTAGTGTCAAGTGTTTGGTCTGAGGTCAGATTTGAACTCAGGTCCTCCTGACTTCAGGGCCAGGGCTCTATCCACTGCGTCACCTAGCGGCCCCCTAGGACTTCATTCAAACCCACATTCTGTGACTTCAGACAATCTGGGTGGGCTCATATGCCAGGCAACATGGAAAATGAAGCAGTTACCCAGCCCTGAGAGACAGCAGGACTCTGCCCTCTCTGCAGCCCGGGATGCATTTTCTTTTTGCTCATCAGCTGGTTTTGCTGCCCTGCTCTGACCCAAGAGGCTGCTGCCAAGGATGCACTGATCAGTCTCCGTGACAGTAGGAAGCAGTAACCCATGCTCCTGGGGGCCCTTCATTGGAAAAACGGTATCTACACGCATGTGTGGGAGATGGGCATGGGGAAAAGACCCTGACCTGTCACCAGAAGGGGCCAGAAAAGCCCCAGCCCCGGAGGCAGAGATCTGGCTTGGAACTCTACCTCTGCCACCCTGACCAGAGGCGAGTCCCTGGAAAGCTGGGCTTCCTTCAGCTTACTCCTCTGTGAAATGGGGGGAGGTGGGCTGGCAATCTTGACCTCCCAGGAGTGTTGTAGGGATCAAGACAGCTAGTGTCTGTCAATGCTTCAGTAAGCTTTAAAACCCTTGTTAAGGGTCAGCTCTGAGGGAACGTCTCTTCGTCCACTGCAGGCCAGTCACCTCTAAAGCAAAGCGCTTCCCATCAGGCCGTCCCAGCACGACAGCTCTAAGACCATGTGGTCCTCTGACCTCCCTAAAGAAATGAGCCGCTGCTACCTTAGCTTCTCCAGAGGCAGGAGACAAGGTGCTCCCCTGGGAAGGACCAGCCACACAAGCATTCCATGCCACTAAGAAGTTTGTTCCTCAATGTAAGGTAATAAGCTGGCATTCTGACTTATAATGCAATCTCAGCCGGCAGTCTGGTTAGCGTGAAGCAACAGCCTAGGATCTATCTGGTCTGAGTCGGCCAGTAAAACATTTCACAACCTCCAAAGCCAAGGAGCCAGACATTAAATGTTTGGGGAACCCTGCTGTCAGTGTGGAGAAACTCACAAGGGCCTTCCTGGGCCTGCCCTGATTTCTCCCCATTATAAGTCTCAGTGACACACCCTCCCAACAGGCACATTTTCATCCATTCCTCCTCCATGGACCACATCCTCAGGGAAATGTGTGCACCAGAGGAGCTGGGCTGGACAGACTGAGAGTGTGGCTGCTTCCTTTTAAATCAGATCAGAGGAAGACCCTGGGTGGATCCTGCCCCAGCGGACCACGTAGGGCCACGGAGACAGGATTTTACATTATCCGTTAGAGTAGTGGGGTCAAAAGGATCCCTGCAAGGCCACATACTGACTTAGAAAACCACAAATTCACATTATCTATGTAGTACTGTCTTTGTATTTATTTTATAAACTATTTCCCAGTTACATTTTAATCTGGTTCAGTTTTACAGGAGCACGTTGGAGCCCTCTGGCTTACAGCAATCTTCCAATCAGTCAATTCACAAGTGGAATGGGCTGCCTAGGCAGGTAGTGAGCTCCCCTCACTGGAGCCTTTGATGAGTCCGATTGTTGGGACTGAAGGCGAAGAAATCCCTTCCCAGGTCTGGGTTAAACAAGAAGGCCACTGGGCTCCCTCTCGACTTGAAATTCTGTGATTCTACAATCTATGGAAAGGCACAGACAAAAGGATGTCCCAGGATGAAAAGCCAGAGAGGGGCCACAACCTGTGCCTTTGAAGGGAATGTTCATATGGACCTTCTAAGTAAGACCCTTTCACCATGGCCTGGGGGAATCTTGGCATTTTTATTTCCTAAGGAAGAGTTAGGAGAAACATCTTGTTCCCCACAACAAACTGGAGCCAGACCACAGCGTGCCATATGGAGAATTCAGGAGATACCAGCACCCTGCCACCTTCTTCCCTGGCAGGATCCTGGTGCCCTCGCTCAGGAATGGCCCATCCAGACCCTGGCCCAGGAGGCTCCAATGCTCCCTGTTAAATAACAGGGTCTCCTCCTCCCGACATGGAGTCCTGTTCTGCTCTACTTGAAACAAGACCCTCCATCCTGCTGTCTCCGGGATCTTGCTCCTCTTTATCTCCCAGAGGAGACACACCTTTCTCCCAGTATCCTCCTTCCCTGCCCCAAGAATGCTCTCCACATTCACTCCCAGAGGGGTCCTTCCCTCTTGGAAAATGGGATTTCCTCACCACCAGCAAGCAGACAAGAAGCAGCCTCCCCTCCCACCCCCCCAACACCCCCCGAGTCAGGGCCTGCCACATGCAATGCTGTGGGCAATTCTAGACACCAAGGAAGATGGTAAAGAAGAAAGGTCATTGCCTGACTCCAAGGAAGGTCATTGGCAAGGAACGAGAAGAGCTGGTGCTGAAAACATACACAAGGCTTCCAAGAGGAGACACTGGGGGGCTGGGGAAGGGGGGAGACACCTAGATGTTTTCACCAACCAACTGACCTCACAGAGGAGGGGCCAAGGCCCGCCTGGCTGTCCACTTGCCTCCCTTTCTAGCTCTGCTCCAGGGTCCGGCCACAGCCTTTGCCTGCGCTCCTAGGACTACCCCCCTGCTTCTCCTCAGCCAAGCAGGAGCACCCCTCCTTTCCGGAGCCCCCGTTCTGGGCTGCCTGGAAGTTATTTAGTATGCACATACACGGGGATCCCAGAGGGCGCCCGGAGCAGGAGGAAGCCCCGGGAAGGTCGATTCTGCCTTTGTCTCCCCCCACCCTTCCCCACCACAAGGCCTGACACAGAAGGGACGCCTGATGCTCGGTGCGCCCGTATGATCCCCAGGGACAGCATTCGAACTCAGGTCTTTCTGACTCCAAGACCAGCACACCTGCGGCTCTGTGTCACCTAGTCTCTCTCAAGAACTAGCTCAGTACCTGGCACACAGTAGGCCCTCATAGCCCAGTGTGGAGGGGCCGAGTCCCAAGCCCCTTGAGCCCTCCTCTCCTCCTGTCCCTGTCTCTCCCCCTTGCTCCTGTCTCTGTCTTTCCCTTGGGGTCTCTCCTGTCCCTGTCTCTCCCCCTCGGTCTCCACTGCCTCTGTCTCTCCTGTCTCTGCTTCTCTCCCAGGATCTCACCTGTCTCTGTCACTCCTGTCTCTCCCTTGGTCTCTCCTGTCTCTGTCTCTCCCCCTTGCTCTCCTGTCCCTGTCTCTCCCCCTCGGTCTCTCCTGTCCCTGTCTCTTCCCCTCAGTCTCTCCTGTCTCTGCCTCTCTCCCAGGATCTCGCCTGTCTCTGTCTCTCCTGTCCCTGTCTCTCCCCCTCGGTCTCTCCTGCCTCTGTCTCTCCCCCTGGGTCTCTCCTGTCTCTGTCTCTCCTGCCTCTGTCTCTCCTGTCCCTGTCTCTCTCCCAGGATCTTACCTGTCTCTGTCTCTCCTGTCCCTGTCTCTCCCCCTTGGTCTCTCCTGTCCCTGTCTCTCTCCCAGGATCTCACCTGTCTCTGTCTCTCCTGTCCCTGTCTCTCCCCCTCAGTCTCTCCTCCTGGGTCTCTCCTGTCTCTGTCTCTCCCCCTCGGTCTCTCCTGTCTCTGTCTCTCCCTCTTGGTCTCTCCTGTCCCTGTCTCTCCCCCTCGGTCTCTCCTGCCTCTGTCTCTCCTGTCTCTGCTTCTCTCCCAGGATCTCACCTGTCTCTGTCACTCCTGTCCCTGTCTCTCCCCCTCGGTCTCTCCTGTCTCTGTCTCTCCCCCTCGGTCTCTCCTGCCTCTGTCTCTCCTGTCCCTGTCTCTCCCCCTCAGTCTCTCCTGTCTCTGCCTCTCTCCCAGGATCTCGCCTGTCTCTGTCTCTCCTGTCCCTGTCTCCCCCCCGGGTCTCTCCCCCTCGGTCTCTCTGTCTCTCGTATCTCCCCCACCTCCCCCTCCGGTCCCTCAGTCTCTAACAGCCGGGCCGGGTCTGGGGGCTCTCTCCCCGTCCCCTCCCCGCCCCTCCCCCCCCGGGCCAGGCCGGTCACCTTGTCCAGGGCCGCGGGCCTCTGCACGGCCAGCGAACGGGCCAGTGACAGGACGGTGTTGAAGTAGAAGCCGCGGGCGGAGCTGGGGCCAGAGCAGGGGCCGGCCGCCGCCCGGGCCGCTCCCGCCGCCATGGCCCCCACGGAGTCGCTTTCCTCCACCTCGGCCTCCGGCGCCTCAGCCCGAGAGCTCGCCCCCTTCCGGGCCGGGGGCGCCACGGCGCAGGCGCAGGCTCTGCCTGCTTCCGGCTGGCCGCGCACGTGATCTGCACTGTTGTCAAACCCCGAGGGCGGGGAGGCGGGGTCTGCGGGGCAAGTTCACCACAGCGGAAGGGGGGGAGGAGGCGGAAACAGCCGCCACTACAGCGCGGGGCTGGAGGGAACACCCCTCTGCGCACGCGCCCAATGGTTGGATCCAGGGGCGTGGCCGCGCACGCGCCCTGGGTAGAAGGAACCTTTCGAGGGGCCAGTGGGGTGAGGTGGCGGTCGCGGGGGTGACGGCAACCAGGTTGGGAACGGCGGCGGCGGGTAAGGCGCCAGAAGGTGGGCCGGGTGTCCGGCAGGGGCCCCGGGAAGGAAGAAGCTCGGAGGCCGGAAGGGAGCGGAGGGGAAACTGAGGCCCGGGGAGGGGGGCGGGGCAAGGATCGAGGGGAGCAAAACGGGAAACTGAGGCTGGGAAGGGAGGGGAGAGACCAAGGGTCCAGCCCCCTGGGTGAGCGGAGGGGGAAACTGAGGCCCAGAGGGGCGAAGGGGCCGAAATGAGGGGAGGGAGAAGGGAAGGGGGGACAGCGGAGACGGAGGGACTGGCTTTTGTTAGTGTCTATCAGGAAGACTGGGACGGAGATGTCTGTAATGCGCCTATGTCATACGTGTGATAGCCCTGTAACATGCTATGCACATAGTACATACAACATACCACACATATAGGGCGTCTGTATAGTGCAGGAGGTGCACATGACATAGTATACACACGGTAATATAACAAGATCTGTAGGGTTAGTGTGTAGAATTGGGAGGGGATCCCGTGATCCGCCTCCTCATTTTACGGAGAGGGAAACTGAGGCCGGGAGAAGGCGAAGGGCCACACAGCACTTGGGGGCAGGAGCCGAGGTCCCGGTGCCGGCTCTTTGCAGATTCCCAGCTTGTCAGAGATGTAGGGCACTTCAGAGAACACCCCCCCCCAAACCCCTCCTTTGCCAAAGGAGAAAACAGCCGTCCCCTTGTCCTTTGACTTTAGGTCTCAACTGTCCTCTGTGAAGTTCACTAAGTCAGCAAACTGTTTATCAATTATCCTTGGGCACTTGGAAGGGAATGGGTGCTACCAAAACTTTTCCTAAGAGGGAGGGGTCGAGAGGGTGTGCCGAGAACAAACCTGACCCAGTTCATTTTACTTTACCATCCTCCTCTTGAATCTTAGGTCATAAGTCACACACACACACACACACACACACACACACACACACACGAGTGTATAAGCTATGCCATATCTTCCTAAGCTACATTGATTTCCAGCGTGAACCCAGCAGGGGACTTGGTCCTCTGAAGACCAGCCTAGCTAACTTAAGAAACTTGTGAAAAAGCGAGCCACCACATGATGGATATTGTTGCAGGCCACGTCAGCTTGTGACACATGCCCTTGTAATACCATTATCCCAAGTATGCGGAGGTGGGTGTCTAAGGAAGGCTGTTTGGCAAAGGGATGGAAAGAGGACTGGACTTGGGGTCAGAAAGATCCAGATTCAAATCCTGCCTCTGACACTTGGTAGCTCTGTGAACCCAAATAAGTTAACTTAGCTTCTCAGTGCCTTGAATAACTGCTGAGGGTTTAATCAGCTAAGTCAGAGGTGGGTTTATAGCAGGAATTCCAAGGCAATTTAGGTCTCGGGGAGTTCTCTGCTTTCTAGCAGACACAAGTCATAAATATTGATCCTCTTGGGCTCTTCCTCCCCCTCCATCAGCATGGTAGGGTAGGATGAGGATGGCCCTCGCTTCCCAGGCAGTCCCCACTGAGCTAGACTTTGCCTTTGTATCCCTGACACCTAGCACACTGCCTTCTGGGTATAGGACTTTTTGGTCACCATACGACTTTTCCTTTCCCTCCAGCTAGAGAGACCTTGAATCATCTTTAAAAACACCTGCACCAGGACATTGCACCTTTGTGAGTGGGACATTGAAGAGTCTCTCTGAGTTACCTGGGCAGTCGAGGCTTGACATTGCACACCATGTCGGCGTATTCCAAAAGTTACAATCCGTTTGATGATGATGCGGATGAAGAAGACCCGAAGCCAGTGAAGTGGAAGAATGAGGAGGATTTCTCCCAGAAGCCCAGGGAGCCTGTGGACAGACAGCAGTACCTGCGGCAGGAAGTGCTGAGGCGGGCTGAGGCGTCCGTGGAGAGCACTAACCGCTCCCTTTCCTCCATTTATGAATCTGAGAAGGTCGGGATTGCTTCATCCGAGGTAAGGTCCCAGAGCAGATCCAGGCAGAGGCCAGTCTGGATGCCGACGTGCATCTTACTAGGATTCAGCCTGTTTGAGGCCCTTAGGGCACCTGCTTTAATGATGATTTGCAGTTACTGTTACAGCTGCATGAACAAAAAGGAGCGCACCCGGCCCCCCCCCCCAGCAGTGTTAACTTGCTACTGTCCAGCTTTTCAGAATTCTCAGCTGGCAGTGTGACTTCACGAGGCTTTCCTGGGTGAGGAAATCAGTCACCTTGAATGGGTGGTCTCCACGCGTCCAGAAGAAGGGCGTTTCATTTGGTCTTTTCTTTTTGGGTGGTTGAGAGACATTGGAGTTAAATGACTTGCCTAGGGTCACACAGCTAGTGTGTATCTGAGGCAAATTTGAACTAGGGCTGGTTCTCTATCCACATCTCATTTGTTCTTAAACCTCCCTGGTTAACATGGTCTAACGTTTAACTCCAATGAAAGGACCTCAAATTCAAGAAAGCCAAAGGCCCCAAGACAAGACACTTAGGGAATGATATAATCAGTATATGCTGAGGAACCAGGAAATGTCCTGATCCTATCCATTCCAGGCTCAGAAAAGAGAGAGAAGCATGTGGGTGGGGATGGTGCTCAGAGGCATTCTGGAGCAGGCCAGTGGGGAAGAGGAAGGGCCTTAGGAGCCTCTCACCAGGACTGTTGTAATGGCCTCCTCCCTGATCTTACTGTCTCCAGGATAAGAGCTGGCATCAATAACTTGGAATGGGCCCAGAGGAGGAGGGGCCTTCAGGAGACTGGGAGGGCTAAAGACCAGGTGACCTGTGAGTCAACGGATGGAGAGTGGCGTAAGAGGGCTAGGCTATCAGCCTCTCACTATTGGAAGAGCCGGCATGTGAAAGAGGGGCCTCCCAGGCTTCCCTCCTAAGAGGGTCCCCCATCTTTCCTCTGTGTATCACAGGCATGGCATCTCCCCCGTTAGGCTGGGAGCTCTGGGAGGGCCGAGATGGCATCCTTCTGCCTTAGCACACAGTGCGGGCTTGGTCAGTGTCGGTGGGCTGAACAGAACCGGCAGCCGCGAGGAGAGAGTGCAGATGGAGGCTTGCTGTCCTCAGCCGGAATGGCTCCTTGGGATCTAGTGGGTCTCCCCATTGAAGGAAAGCTTCAGTTAGTTGTGGAAGGTGACCAGGATCCCGAGGACCCTTCTAGCTCTAAGACTTGGGTTCTATAAAGACCACAGGCCGTCAGGAGGAGCCGAATGGACCATGACCAGAGGCCTCTATCTTGACCTAAGGGCCCTCTGTACTCCACCGGGGATGTCAGCTGGTCAGAAGGAGGGGGTTCCGTGGGCATTCTCCTTTATCTCGGCCCCTTCCCCACTGCCCAGAGACTCCTTGCCAAAAATCATATCAGCCTCTGTGCCCTTGAACATGGTCTAGAGAGTTTCAGGGCCGACTTCCTCAGGGAACAGTTGACCTGAAAGCCGCAGACTTCCTCAAGAAAGAAGGGTGTGGGGGAGGGGCGGGCGCCAGCCAGGCCTCTATCCAGTAGATCCTGGGCAGAATCGAGTGCCCACTAGGACCTGGGGGAACTCTGCTTAGAACGTGAGCTAGGGCAAATACAGATCATCGGAGGCCTCACCCTTCAAATTGTCTTCCAAGCCAAAAGGTTGAGGGCAGGCCGAACGGTTGGAAGGCTGTTGTGTTCCAGGTGTCCTTGTCACTGTGGCGCTCACGTTGCCTGGCCCTGAGATGGCCCTTTGGGGGCGCTAAGCCCTTCCCGTGTGAGTGGTCCTCAAAGAGGCCCTCGGAGGTCAGTACCGTAGCCGCCATTACCCAGTCTGCACAGGATCAGGGCCTGCTGTCTTTTCACCACACCAGATGTGAAGTAACAGCGCCTCGTGTGTATTCCAAAGACCAGTTTACAGAAAACAAGTGATACGCTTGCCCTCGTCATCTTCCCCAAGCCTGCACCTCTTCCTGGAATTCCGAGGACCACCATCAGCCACCTTGGACTTTTCCTCTCCCGGCTCCGCTGACCCTGCCTCCCCCCTTGCTTCGGCCTTCATGCCCCATCCCCACCTGTCTCCATCTCTTGTCTTCCTAATAGATAGATCTCATCCCATCTCTTCTTCGGGATCCCCTGGCCTGGGCCTCCCTTGTCACGCCTCTCGTACGGCACATCTCCGTCCCCCACACCTGGAATGCTTCCTCCGCCGCTCATCTCTTCCTGTTTGTACCCTTGCACTTCCTCAGGTGCTCCAGGAGTCTCCACCCCCACGGGGCAGGGGACCTGAGGCATGGGCATGCAGCCCGGGGCCCACGCCAGGGCAGCGAGTCATTGCCCTAAATTGTGGGGTGTGCGAGGTGGAGGCCAGCTCGCCCTGGGCTGTACCAGAGGGCCTTCCTGTGGATGGGAACTGGCGTCTCATTGCTGCACCTCAGGGAAGTCTTCCCAGTGCTGTTCTGAGCTGTTGAGAGAACGGCACTGGTTGAGCATTCAGTCACTGTGCTCGCTCGCTCGTGCTTCCCCCCACCCCACCCCAGTCTCTCTTTCTCTCTCCCTCCCCCTCTGTCTCTCTCCCTCTCCTCCTTCTCCCCCCCTTCCCTCCCTCCCTCTCCTTCTGTCTCTCTCTCTGTCTCTCTCCCTCCCCTTCTCTCTCCTCTCTTCTTTTCTCTCTCCCTCCCTTCCCCTCCTCTCCTTCTCTCTCTCTCTCTCCCTCCCTCCCCTCCCCTCCTCGCTCTCCTCCCTCCCTCTTCCTGTCCCACACTCCTCACAAGACAGAGGGGCATTTCTGGTGGTGTTTTTAAGAAGCCCAGCTCCAGGTCACTTGCGTGCCGTGGCATCACGTCCCTGATGTCAGTGGGCTTCTTTGAGAACAGCAGACAGACAACAACAGCTGATGTTAGACCTTCCCAGCCTGAGGGTCTTGGGCAGGGCTCTGGTCTCCTGAGCCCCAGTTTCCCCATCTGTGTAGTAATAACTTCCGGCACTGGTCACAGACGTGCCGTCAGGGTCAGTGTCTGTCAATGTTCAGGCGTGTCCAGCTCTCCATGATCCTGACCCTGGGGCAGTTTGCCATTTCCTTCTCCAGCTCCTTTGACGGGGCCCTGTGTCTGCTGGGGCCCTGTACTGGCCTGGTGCTGGTGTTGAAAGAAGCCCTTTGTGCACCAGCAGTCCCGCGTCCTGTGAGCCCTGCGGGTGTGAGGAAGCCAGAAGGGAGCCCCGAGGTGCCTCTCTTCCTGAGGCCCAAGGAAGGGGGGAACTCACCGTGGATGATGCAGTGTCTCCCTTCTCTGCACCAGCACGGCCTCCACCCTCTCCAGTCCTCCTCCAGCTGCCAGATGGACCTGACCATGCAGAGGTTCTCAGCCTCAGTTGGAGGATTCGCTCCAGTGTTTTCAGTAACTGGGTTTTGGCAGAATTGGGGTTTTTTTTGCCAAGTCAGCAAGCGTGTATCAAGCACCTCCTGCGTGCCCAGCGTGGTGTCAAGGAAAGGACAGAAGGCGCTGCTCTCACAGGCGCTCACGATCCAATGATCTCTGGGCCAGAAGGGATCCGTAGGTTTTGCCAGACAGCCAGAAGTGGCCACAACACAAAGAAAGATTTAGAGTCTCTGCTCGGAGCCGAAGTCGGCAGCGGTGCTTGTATCTGGGCTGCGGTGCTGGCTCCCTGGCTGTGTCCGTGGGGGGCTGTGTGACGGCTGGAGTCGGCGATCTGGGGCCGGGGGCCTCACAGCGGGGGCTGTGGCGGCTGTCGCCCGCCACCTCAGGAGTTGGCACTGAGCGTGGGGGGCACCGATGTGGGTTGAATTTGTCAGTGAGTTTGCATGGGCGGAGGAACCAAGGGCCCGCAGACTTCAATTGGAAAAGGAGGGTCCTTCGCAGTATGGAGCTAGTGGGGCGAGCGAGCCTGCTTGTGTTTTCTGACCTCAGGTCAGTCGAGCATGCCTCACCTGTTCCCCCTTTGCTTCAGGCTGAAAACAGGTGGGTCTTCAACGCAGCTCCCCCTACCCAAATAAGATGCCCAACCAGGCCAAAAAGCGGTAGTGATTGTAGAGGAGGGAGCACTTAGAAAGGCAAAGAATGAGAGGCGTCAACCAGAGGTGACGTTGGAACTCGGGCCGTGAGGCTGGGTGGCTCGCCCAGGGCTCCCTGGCCCCATCCCTGGGACCCTGGGCATTCTCTGGGCAGCCTCAGCGTTTGTGAAACCATAGTGTTTAGAGATGGGGTTGAGTTTCACAAAGGAAAGGACAGTAAAAAAGAAACTGCCAGACCAGTAATGCACAGAGGAGGTGTCCCGCGCCCTGGCCCTTTGTCATAAGCCTGTAGGAGAGGGAAGGGGCCCTCCCTTCCTGGGCCTGGCAGCAGGAGGCAAGTGCAGCAGGTTGACCTGGAATCGAGGTCTGGGTTGAGGAGATGGAGGAACGTTGGCTTTGGGAAGAGGTGGGAGAAAGGAGGAGAGAGGGAGAAAGAGGAAACAAGAAGTGTCATCCTCCACTGACCCTTCTGACATCCCTCGGTCATCAGGAGCAGCTGTGCCCCTGGTGACCAAGGTTTTGGCAAAGTGATTGCCCAGTCTGGGGGTTGGGTTGGTTTTTTTTAACCTGCTTTTTAGAAGGAAGAGGGGATTGTGAATTTTCTCTCCTTGTAGCTTCCTTTCAGCAACCAGACTTAGGTCTCCAAAAGCAGCAGCATTACCTCTTCTCTCCCCACCATTTGTAGATATCCCAGTCTGGTGACACCATCAAAAAGGAGAGAAGATTAGGCTCCCATGGCTTAACTCCATTTTTCTTCTTAAACATGTCTTCATTTTAAAATTCCTTAGCACCAGTTTTCCCCAAGTTAAAAAAAAAGTCCTTCTAACAAAAAAGCGCAGAACCCCGTACATCGACCCCTTCCAGAAGTGCCTGTCTCATTATGCGCCTCACGGCCGTCACCCTCTTCCCCACTGGTCCTGTGGAGGTGCAATCGGTCATTACGCTGGCCAGTTTTCTGTCTCTTCTTTTCAGCGGCAGTCTTCCTGGTGCTGCTCACTGCACTCTGCGTTGGTTCCTGCATTTCTTATAGCACAAGAATGTGCCATTAGCTGCCGTGTGCACGGACAGACAGACTGCCTTTGGTTTCCCCACTTGCTAGGTCCGCTTGGTTACACTGCAGGCGTCTTCTGCCTCCCTATTCTCTGATCTCTTTGAAGCAGACTCCTTGTGGCGGGGCGGGGTCAGCTGTGCCTTCTCAGGGATCCTGGTTGGCTCAGTGGGCCGCAGCCCTTTCCCAGAGGTCACAAGCGGTTCAGTAGCACATCGGCACGGGGGCTGTTGTTGGGGCTCTGTATTGGGATCGAGTCCTACCACCTTCTCTTGTCTCCACGCTTTGGCCTTCACTTGACCCTCCATCCCTGGGACCTAGACCTCCCAGCTATGGGAGAGAAGAGAAGGGAAGCGGATGTTGCGTTCTGCCTTCTCCTCGTCCCCTTCGCCTTACGTGGTCATCGTAGACACCCCCCACCTTCCTTTGCCTCCTCCAGCTCTAACTCTGAGCCATGGAAGGTGTTCGACAAACCTTGGAGTGGTCCGGGAATGGGAGGAGTTGCTGGGGGATCAGAGGGGTCTGAAGCAGAGGTAAGCTGTGTGGTCATTGAGCCCCCTGCTGTGATAGGCCGGGGGAGATGGCTTGCCACCGGGAGATTTAACCCTGCCGGAGCTGGCCCGGTAGGCTAGAGGCCAGGCCACGCCTGTTCCCTCACAGCTGCACTGCTCTTTCAGTTCCTTCTCCAGAGTCTTGGCACTCGCCATGGGAGGGGCACAATTGCATCTGGTGTATGGTGTGTGTTAGCTGCAGCGCTCTCTGGATCCCAGAGCATGTCTCTGGCTCTGGCCCATTTAGAGCGAAGTCTTTACAGGAGCTGTGAACACTGTAATCCCCTGACTCCTAAAGGAATCTTTCCCTTACCTCTCTGTGCAGAGTGAAGGGGGAAAGCTGCTGTTACTATCCAGTAGGGCTCAGTTGGACCAAAAACCTGAATTTGATTGGGGAAAAAAAGATTCAGAAAAACAAGAAAAAGGCTGAATCCACATGGGTCCTTTTAGCCAAAGCAGTAGCACCTGCAGCAGGTCATACACGTGGCCCCTTCAGTAGATGCCTGAGTCTGGATTGGATTTATCTTGTGGACGGTCCATAATGAATCCTTAGCCGTGAAGGGAGAGGAGACCTCAGGACCAGAGTACCAGGGCTCTTCCCTTCCCAGAGCCCAGAAGCTCCCTGGAAGGCCCTGCTCAGACCTCCTTTCCATCCTGGCCCTTCTCATCTGCAAGCAAGCCCCTCTTCCCTGAGGGTGACTTTGCCTGGCTTCCCTCCTTTTCTTCCTCACCTCTGTTCCCCACCTTCTTCCCCCAGGGCTGGGCTCTGCCTTCCTCTGTGACCTGTGAACTCATATGATAACTTCCCTGGGCCTTCTTCCCTCTGGTTCCCAGGCCCCTGGTGTACCCTCTGGAGAGAAGTCATCGTTACATCTTCCTAGTGTACTGGTTTGTGTTAACAAAACAAAATGTGGCGTATGGAAGTGATTGTTGATAAATCAAAATAAGTCAATAAAAAAATTAAAAGAAGGAAATGGCAAAAAGAAAAAAAATAAACACGTGCAAATGATAATTAAAAACCCCCCAACAGAATCTGAAATGTGTTTGAGTCAGAACAGATGAGCTTGGTGTAAAGGCTCTCGAGAATCGGGTTTTTTGAATGGTTATTCATATACTGGCTGCTCCATGGGGCCAGAGGAAGTGGAGTTTGGGGGCCCCGGCTTCTTGAAGGCCTTGCCCACAGAACCCAGGCCAGTCAGCCTGGGAAGGCTCCTGCCTGCGTCCAACTGTGTGTGTCCTGTCCAAGGACCAGCTTGGCCAGGCAGAGAGCTTGAGTAGGAAACTCCACAGGTCTAGTCTCCAACACGATGTTTCAGAGGCCCAGGGAAGGGCCTTTCAGACACCTGGGGCATGAATCGTACACCTGGGGGAGCTCCAGATTGTCGGACCATGGGCTGGGCCACAGAATCCTCCTCTTTGGTGCCGATCAGTGGTGGGAAGCAGCAGATTCAGCCCTGGGCTCTGTGCTGGCTTATTAGGGAGATGGGTCTCCCCACCTCTGGGCTGTCCCCATTGCTTGCACCATAGGCGCAGCTGGCAAAGCCATTCTGGAATGCACATCCAACCGCATCACTCCCTGCTCAGTCCAGGCCAGCGGTTCCCTACGGCCCCTTTGTTTACCTCTTAAACCTTTGCCAGGATGGCCTTAACCGGGCTCTCTGGACTCAGGGATCCAGCCCAGGCAGCCTTCTCTCTGTGCCTCTGCCCTGGCCACTCCCTCCTCTGCTCTTTGAAGATTGTCCCTCGCAGGCTTCCTGTTTTCATTTGAATCTGTTCCGTTTGTACGTGTGTACATGTTCACACATCTGTCTTCCCCTGGACTGTGGGCTCCTCGGGAGGAGGGGTCATTCACTGCGCTTGTGCCCCTGGGGCCTGACACGTAGTAGGTGTCTGACGAGCGCTCTTGTCTGGAGCTTACCCAGGCCTTCGCCTCGGATGCCTTTTCTTCTGTAAGGGTTCAGTTAGGTGGCACCTCCTCCTGGGCCGGTTGGAGTGGGTGTGGGCAGGTGTCCGTCCCCCTCTTTCTAGCTCCTTCCCTTTCCTCAGCCCCACCCAAGCTGAAAGCATCTCCTGGTCCTCTGATGTTCTGAGAAGATGTCCTTGGAGGTTTCTCCCTTGTCCCCATCCCATGGTGCCTTGAATGCCGATCCCCCCATGCATGCCTGCCTCGTGACCCTGCTTTCTCCTCTGCCCAACCCCTTCGCAAAGGTACCCTCTTGGGTGGGGCCCCGCGCTTTGTGAGGGTCAGAGGCCACGTCTGCAAACAGCCCTTTATTGCTGTTCATTCAGGGCGTCGAGGAACCAGCGTTTGTGTGGTCTTACGTACAAAACGAGAAGGTTTGAGCTGTCGCTGACCATGGCCCGGGAAGGGCCCCGGGACTCACTGCAGACTTTTCCTTAGAACCAGTGCGGCGTGGGAGAAGGAGCAGCAGACGCAGCATCCGTAGGCGCGGGTTCAGGTTCCAGCTGTTCCTGCCGGTCACCTCGGGTTCGGCCTTGGCCGTCCCCCTCCCTCCACAGATGGATGGGAGGGGCTATGAGATAGTTTGCTTGCTTGTTTTCTTTCTTTCTTTCTTTCTCTCTCTCTTTTCCTTCCTTCCTTCCTTCCTTTCACAAGGTTAAGTGACTTGCCCAGAGTCACACAGCTACCAGGTATTATGTGTCTGAAGCTGGCTTTGAACTCCTAACTCCAGGGCCGGTGCTCTACCTGCTGAGCCACCTAGCGGCCCCGGGATTGTTTTTCACCTTGGTGTCTGTGGTGCCTGGTCCACGCTGCATGTCCATTGAATACCGCAGGAGGAGTCAGTGCCTCGAAGGTCACCAGCCAGCACCAAGCCTCAGCTGGGTCATCTCTTTGGCGCCACAAGGTCTCCTGAGCCTCAGTGTCCTCATCTATGAAATGGGAGCAGTATCGCCTGCACTCCCTGCCTCTCGGAGTAATTAAACAGGAGCTCCTCTCGTTGCTTTTCCGCAGGAGCTGGTGCGTCAGCGGGGAGTCCTGCAGCGCACAGAACAGATGGTGGACAAGATGGAGCAGGACTTAAAGACGAGCCAGCGGCACATCAGCAGCATCAAGAGTGTGTTTGGGGGCTTCGTCAACTACTTTAAATCCAAGCCCGCAGAAGCCACGCCGCCCAACGGCGTGGTGGACTCCCAGCCCAGCACACGGTGAGCAGCCCTCCTGGGCCTGGGGGAGCGGGAAGGAATGGCCAGAGAGCCGCCAGGCATCCAAGGAGCTGCAGAGCCCGGATTAAGTGCGTAGGGTGTGTCTGGGACTCCGCTAAAGCCCAGGGACATGAATTGGGGGCTGTGGGGGGGAAGCCTAGAGAGGGAAGGAGTCACATGGCCAAGGCCCTTGGGAAGTGGGGATTCAAGGTAGAAATAGGGTGGACGCTAAGGCCCACCCTCAGGGTTCCGCTGCCTTTGAAGAGGTAAGGGGGCAGACGGTCACGGAGCAGCGGAGAAGAGGCCCAGCCTAGAAGGTAGCCCACGTGGGGTCACATCTTCACCAGGCAGGCAGGCACTCAGCTCTGGGGATACAGGAAGAGGCAAAAGACAGTTGCTGTCCTCGAGAGGCTCCCCATCTAGCACGGGAGATAGCTGGAAACAAGCTGTGGACAGGCACGTAGTTAACGGCACGTAAATGGGAGCCGTTCTTGCTGTGGCTGACGTATTGGAGTGGGTATCCAGCCTAATCCAGTCTTCCCCAAAGGGCAGGTGCCCGATTAGGGAGGTCTGGAGGGGCAGCTGGCCAAAGGGAGGATGTTGGCTGAGGCCTGGAGGAAGCCACCGTGTTCCCCTGAGTCTTGTCTTCTCTAGTCTGACATCCTTATTTCCCTCCACTGCTCCTCATGTGATGTGAGTGAGGGTCCTGAGCACCCTCCCACTTCTCATGTCTTCCAAAGTCATGGTGCCCAGGACTGAGCTTCTCTAGTCTGAGCAGAGCCGAGGACAGGAAGCTCCGCCTCCCTTCATGCTGCCCAAAATTGGCGCTCACTCTTGGCCGCCTCTTCATGCTGCTGATTCATGCCAAGCTAGCAGTCCACCTGGTGACTCTCAGACAGTTGAGGCACAGAGGCACACGCTTCACATCACGATGGACAGAACCAGCTCTTACAGCCCAGAGGGATGGTGGGACTCATTGCACAAGGTCCCCCAGTTTAAGTCAATAAGGGCCAGGTTTAGGACTGCAGTTCAGTGTTCTTTCCACTGTCCTGTGTCGTCAGTCCACACAGAATAAACTGTACACAGCAGTAAAGGCTTCAATTACATAGGATCCTGCCGACACTTTTTACCTTAAATTCTTTGTTTCTTCTTTTGTTACTTAAAGACTAAAAGAAGCCATAGCCACAAGTAAGGAACAAGAGGAGAATTATCAGGCCAGCCACCCCAACCTGAGGAGGCTGCAGAGGTCAGGTCAGTATGAGACCAAGGTTGGTCCCTTCGTGGGGGGTGGGGAAGCTGCTAAAGTCTGACAGTTGGCAGATTCCTCCCAGCTTGCCGAGAGATGGGCTCAGGGAGCCAGCCAGCTAGATGAGGGCCATGTGATCCTGGTGAGATGGGACAGGGCTGTTTGGGGACACCCTTGACGGTGGAGGAAGGTAGTGGGAGCAAGGTTAGAGTGGCTTCCAGGAAGTGCTAATGGTTTAATGATTGTTCATTGCCCCAAGTATCCTGGCAGTCACCAGCCTTCAGCCCCACTATGCGTGAGATTGCCCGCCGTTTCTGGGAGGTGTCCTGTGGAATGCTGATCTCTGCTCCAAGCTCTTTCTGGGTAGTGAAATACCAGCCAGTGGTGATAAATTGTGCAAACATTTACAGGGCGCCTAAAGACGAGCCCCAGCCAAATGTCAGCTGTGAGAGAGAGCTGGTATCCTACTCAGGAAATCTTAGCAAGATATGTGATTTCAGCTGTGTGTGCGTTCCTACCATACCTTAGGGGCTGTGAAAACCCAGAGAAATTGGGGGGAAAGAGAATGAATTCCTTCTGGACCTGTTCAGAGCCCAGTGCCTGCAGGCCAGTGGGGTGTTGACGGTGTGACATCGGAGCTCTGGAGAGATTCAGGCTGGAAACGGAGGTCTAGGGGTCGTGTGCATGGTCATTGAATCCTTGAGAACAGATGGAAGTTTGGAAGAGAAAAAGTTTAGGCAGAGAAAAGAAGAGGACCCAGCTCAGAACCATGGGGCACATGCACACTAAGTGATGTGGAGAAACCTCAGGACCCAACAGAGCAGACTGAGAACCAGGAGTCGCGGGGAGTGGGTGGCGCACATCTGGGAGGAGGGCCTGGGGGCAGTGTCTAAGAGGCAGGAGCCAGCCTAGGTGCCGTTCTCAGGACAGTCTGCTGCAGCCGCTGGAGAATACGGCTCAGAGAGGAAGGGAGGAGTCTGAAGAGTTGAGGGGAAGGGCCACCTGCGCAGGCAGCTCCAGTGGGCATGGCTCACGCCAAGCAGGTGCCATGGGCCTTGTGGAAATACAGCTGTGCCAGCTTTAAACTGTGCTAAGGGAGTCCAGTGGAGCCCGCGATCCGCTTGGGGGCCTAGGAAAAATGGCCCACTCCTCTGAAGGAGGAGGCTTCAACCTCCTGAATACCACTCAGCACGGGGTCTACACATTTGGTGTCTTTCTCAGGTCGACTCTTAACCAGCTTAAGGAATCTTGGTGATCTCAGCTCATTCTCCCCCTGAGACAGGAATCCTCTCATTGTGTCCTGGACTCCACAGTTTCCTTGAGGATCCTTAGTGTCCCCTGAGACAGCCCTGTCCTGGGCTTCTTAGGCAGCGTGGGTCCTTCAGCATTTCTTCCCTCAGCTGAGCCAATAGCAGCCTCCCTGTATCTTCAGCCCTAGTGCGTTACTGTAGCGCCAATAAAGAGGTAACCAGCAAGCCTCACATTCCTAGCCCCATGCTGGCTAGAGCACCAGGCCACTCCCAGCGGCAGCCGCTGCTGGCCTGCGGAGTCCAAATCAGCAGAATTATTCTGAAAGTCAGACCTAGGGTCCGCAGGGAGTATGCTAGGGGAAGGTGTGGTGACCTCGGCCGGGAGGCCTGGCTCCAAGGCCCATATTCACAGGTTGTGCAGGCCCTCGGACCAGACCTCGCCTTCTTCTAGGAAGGGACCTGGGCTGTGACTCCCTCCACCACGCCCCTGACATGTTCTCATCCAGCCTCTTTGCAACACCTCCGTGATCCCAAGGATGATGTTATAGCCATGTGACAGATTGTTCCACCAGAGCACAACTTTGGGGAATCCACGTCAGGGGCAGTGAATGCTGTGAGGATCAGAGGTGTCTGTCTAAGGGAGGGTCGCGGTACCTGGAGACAGCAGTGGGGGTGGCCCCCGGGAAGCGTCAGGCAGGGTGAGAGCTCTGGGCAACCAGAACAGGAAGGAAGCCCCAGCCGGGATCCATCAGGCACAGAAGTGGCTGGGGTGGCCCCATGGCTCTGGCAGGGATCAAGATCTGGGCTGGCCTCCATTGACTGGAGGAACTCTGAACACTGGAGGTGGAGAGGGGTGGGAATGAGAGCATTACAATCTGGAAAGCTTGGGGGGAATGCCTCCTCGTGCGCGGCCTTGCCTCACTTTGCTGCCTCTCTAGTCCGGAGATGATCAGCCCGCCAGAGAGGATCATTCAGTGAGTCAACAGACATGCACACCCACTGTGTGCCAGGAGCTGGGGGTACAAAGGCAAAAGTGGGACACTCCCTGCCCTTGAGGCCCTTACGTTCTACTAGGAGAAACAACAGAGACCTGTGTGGGCATCCACAAGACACAGGGAGGGGAAGGTGCTGCACGGGCTGGGCTTCAGGGGGCGCTGGGAGCCCCACGTTGATCATGTCACGCTTCTTTCTTAAACAGATGTCATCGTTGATGGGCCTAGTTCTGCCGCCAGTGCTGATGCCTATCCGAAGAATCAACATCTCCGAGCCTATCACCAAAAAATAGACAGCAATCTCGGTAAGCCCCCCAAGCCTTGGGGACTGCACATCAGCCCCGTCCCCTTGTTCTAAGAGGTCAGCCGCTCGGAGCCCCGCTGGAGCCCCTGACACTTTTTCTTTTTTTTGGAGGGGGTGGCATTCGAGATTAAGTGACTGGCCCAGGGTCACACAGCTAGTAAGCCTCAGGTATTGGAGGCCAGATTTGAATTCAGGTCCTCCTGACTTTGGACCAGTGCTCTGTCTGTCCACTGCACCACCTAGCTGCCCCATGAAGTATTTTTGTTGTTGTTCACTCATGTCTGACTCTTCGTGACTCCATTTGGGGTTTTCTTGGCAAAGACCACATTTGCTTCTCCAGCTCATTTTACAGATGAGTAAACTGAGGCAAACAGGGTTAAGTGACTTGCCCAAAGTCACACAGCTAGTAAGTTTCTGAGGCCAGATTTGAACTCAAGAAAATGAAGCTTCATGACTGCAGGCCCGGCACTATATCCAACACACCGCCCAGCTGCCCACCGCTGATGCTTTTTAAGGCCTTTGCCAGTTCTGCCCTCAGAAGAGCGGGCTGCTGGGCCTGACACAGCCCACTTCTCCACCTCCTTCCTCCCTCCCCCAGCCCCAGCCCCACCTGGGCCCAGCTGCATCCTGCCTGGGTGGGCTGGCTTATTTGGCCTCCCCTGGGAGTCACCAGCTCTGCCATGATGCCAGTCATCTCAGAGCCAGCAGGGCTTCCTACAGGGGAGCAAGAAAGGTGGAAGACTGAGACAAACCAATTGTCTGTCTCCTCTCATCCTGTCTCTGTTCGGGAAGGAGGTATCAGTAGAAGTGTGAGCTGGGTGTGGAGTCGGCTTATTGAGAAGCTCCGTCAGCTTTGAGTTCAGAGTGCCTTGGCCCAGGCAGCAGGTTCTGGTTTCACAAGTCGAGAAGTGATAGCAAGAGCACCGTCTGAACACCCTCACTGTCCTTGGCGCTGTTAGAAACGAACGTGCCCACGGCAATGGGCTGACGCACTCCTGGGTCTTCAGAGGATTGGCCAGAACCCCCATTATGGCTCTGGGGCTGATGAAGCCCTTGTTAGAGCAGCTTGGCTCACAAATTTGCCTTGTGTTTGTGGTCATCTTTGATTGGATGTGGTGATAAATCTCCAAGTGAATAGCGAGGGTTGGTTGAAGATAAAATGAATGGGATCGTGTTCAGATGCTCCCAGACTGTTAAATCCACTCGAAGGAGGCACAGATGTCGTTACTGCCCCAACAGAAGATGAAAGAGCAGGTCTGGCAGGATCCCTCTAGTGGCCAACATCCCATGAGCGCAGGTGCTTTAGTGAACGTGAAAGGATGTGATGATGTGGGAGAGTGCGAGCCAGCCAAGAAGTCGGCTCTCTCCGAGAGACCATCAAGATTAAAACTGTTCACTTCCAGGGTCTCCAAGACGTCTCTTCAGCCGACGGAGCGGGACGTGACCTGCTCTCAAAGTCGTAACCCTACCCGGCCCCCGGAGCCAAAGTCGCAGCCACCTCATGTGGAAGCGCTAGTAGCCAATGTAGAGAATGGATGGGCAGTTACTGAGAAGGGCGTCCAGGAAGCACTGACAGGCATTAAGAACATCTAGGCTTCTGGAATCAGCCTGGCTCTTCATCAGAAACATACCACTGATGACCACCCAGCAGTGAATCTTCTGTGAGAAATAAAGCACTGGAGGTTTCTGGACATTTATAGGCACCTGTTCCTTCTGTCTTTGAAAAAAAAAAAGGGAAGAAGAAAGGGGCAGCAAGGTGGCACAGTGGACAGAGCGCCGGCCCTGGAGTCAGGAGGGCTTGAGTTCAAATCCAGCCTCAGACACCTAACACTCGCTAGCTGTGTGACCCTGGGCAAGTCACTTAACCCAAAATGTCTCACCAAAAAAAAAAAGAAGAAACAGAGGCAGAAGTCTGGTTCTTGCCTCATTCCTGGTGGCCATGAGGCAGTGCTGCCCACTGCCCATCACAAAACTGCGATTGTCCTCGACTGCCGTGTCTGGCTATTCGGCAAGGAGAACAGCTCAGGAGAGAGGCACGTGGTGGCACCAGTGGGCTGCAGTATGTTACAGTAGATGGAAGGCGTGTGTATCAGAGCCCCTCAAGGAAACCTATGGTCAGAGAGGAGTCGGGCTTTCTGAAAATGAGGGTCCATTTTGGAGCAACGCTGGTGCTCTGGCGTCTGGAGAGCGTCAGCTGAGCCCGACAAAGGCCACCAGTCTGTTGGATAGATGCTTTCTGGAGGTGTATGTGAGTATGTGGACAAGATCTCGAGGCTGAGATGGCAGAGAACGGCCCCATTGATGAGCCCAGAGTCACGGTGAATGGATGGACGAGCCCCTTCCCCTCACCTCTCTCACTCTGCAGTGGGAGGAGAGCACCTGCAGGGCACCAGCACTAATGAGACGGATGCACAAACAAGTGAACGTTGCCACGTGGTATCTGAGGGAGGAAAGATTTCGCTAGAGGGATCAGACACAGACGTCTTCATGGGGGATGTTGTGTTTGAGCTAAGTCTAATTAAATGAAAAGATCATGGGTCGAGAGATGGAAGGGACCTTCAGGCTCATCTCCTCCGTATTTGACAGATGAGGAGACTGAGGACCAGATTTCAGTTGTAACTGTGTTAAAGAAGGCTGTTCACTGAAATAATGATCTCTGACGTGCCCTCCACATGCTTATCTCATTCTGAGCCTCAGAGCCAGCCACCTTGTAAGGGACACGCCAAGATTCTCCATATTTGTGGATTGGAGAACTGAGCCCATGGTCACGGAGCTAGCAAGCAGCAGATGCTCGTCCCTTACGTCTCTGAGTAGGACAGAGGTTGGACTAAGCAGACTTTGTGGCTAGGGTTCCCATCTCCAGTGGCCCTGTAAAAGTCTCCCCTTAGAAAGAAGAGGCATTAGTGACTCTGTATTGAAGAGAGATGTGGTGTGGGGGAAGGTGCCCTGGACTCTTTTTGGAGTCATGGCTCTCGTGCTCAACAGTGGTATAACCCTGGGCGAATCACTGAACCTCTGGGACCCTCTGCTTCCACGTGAGGGAGTTCATTCATAGGAGCTGAAAGAGACCCTGTCCTGCCTTCTAGCAAAAGACCTTTCTGGCTCTAAATCAAATCAGTAACCACAGGCTCGAAAGCGTGAAGAGACCCGACACCTCCTGGGGTCAGTGTGCAGCCTTGGCTTAAAGGTCCCCAGGAGGAGGAGCCTCCGCTGCCCGACAGGGCAGCCTCTTCCCCTCTGGGATGGCTCTGTTGGTTAGGAGTTGGGTTCTGAGCCTCCATCTGCCTCTCTGTGACCAGGGGACAAGCAGAACAAATCTAGTCCCTCTTCCAGAGACCGAGAGCACGTCCCTCCTGACTCACTGTTTCTCTGGGCCACGGATCGTCAGTCTGTGACCCTCGGTGAGCTGAGAGGGATTTTTATGGCGTGTGCCTGTAGTTTCCCTAGCTCACCTTTGTGTGGCTGAATCTCCAGGCCCTGCAGCACCCCAGTTTCCCTTCTCTGGATAGCCCCCATCTTGTTGGTGTCCTTCCAAAAGACGGAACCTAGAAACCGTTCTCAGATGAGGTCTGAGTAGGGTAAAGTCCAGTGGGCCTCACATCTCCGTAGCCCACTAGTGGCAGGCTGTCTTCCCATTACTGTGGGTTCAGTTATCCGTCATCAGCCTTGGATCTCCCAGCTCGCCCGCGCTATAATCCCACCTCATCAACTGCTTGCTGGACATCTGGCGTCCCATAGGCGTCCCAAACCCAGTGTGTCCAAAGCCCTCCCCCATCCTCTGCCGGACTTCCCAAGGACGGTCAAGGAGATTTCACCCCCATACCCAGCCCCTCGCTAGAGCTCGCCATTTCCCCTCTCCCAGCCTCTCTTTGTCTGCGTCTCCTTATCTCCGCTCACCCTGGCTCAGGCCCTCATCGCATCAAGCCTAGACTGTTTCAGTAGCCTTCTGGCTGGTCTCTCCACCCCAGGCCTGTCCCCTCTCCAGCCCATCCTCCACTCAGCATCATCTAAAGCAAGTCTGACCCTGCCTCCTCCCGCCCTCCTTGACCCCACTCACTTCCTGTTACGAGATGACATGTGGGAAGTACTTGGCAAACCTTACAACTTGGTAGAACTGCTAGCTCTTATCATTGTTATCACTACAGGGCCACATAGGAAATTCTTCATAATCTGGCCCCTTCCAAGCTTTCTTCTGGCAGACTGCAATCCTGGCTTCATGTGCCCCCCTCCAGGCTTCACGCCGGCCCTCCCCCGGCCTCCTTCGGGACAGCCCGGATGCTGCCTTCTGCAGGAAATCTTTCTTGGGCCTCCCCTCTCTCCGGGGTGCCTTGGGTGCTCCTGGCTTTTTCCGTGTGCTCTCCCCATTAGAAGGGGAGCCCTGTGAGGCCAGGAACCCTAGGAGGCGCTCTGTCGTGTCTGGCCGATGGATTACCTCCAGGGTTTCCTGTGCGTTCACAGTTGTGGCTTCTGACTGTTGCCCTTGCCTCCTCATCAAAATTATGTAGCTCTTTTGTGTCTTAGCATTTTGTCCCTAAGGGTTTTCTGTCCTGCCTGCCTCAATCTCCTTTCCTGTAGAATTTTAATCTACAGCACCATCCCTCTGCTTCCTCTGAGCCCTTGAGATGATTTAGCTCTGCCCAAACCAGCAGGCTGTGTGTCCAATGTCCAATGTGATAGACATTCGCCTATCACAAGTTGTGAGAGACAAGGGCCTTTCCTCCCCCGAGGTTCTCTTCGTTTCTACTTTAGCCACCAGGCCCTCCCCTTCCCTTATTTAATCCTGGCCTTCTTGGGGGCTGGAGCTAACCTCTCTGTATAGGACAGCCTGCCATAGCACGGACAGTTGGCACATTAAAATGCTGACCGTTTTTAGGAACTTAAGCAAAAAAGTCTCAAGGGACTTAGGTACTTGTATATAGACCTAGATGTCCTGTTTGTCATGGAAAAAGGTACCAGAGCGAGGGAGGTTATTATGGTTATTGTGTCCCCTGCCTGAACTGCTGCCTCTCAGGTGTGTGACCTGGAGCAAGTGCCTTCCCTCTCTGGGCGTCAGCCTCCTCCTCTGTAAAGTAGGTCAGCATTTAGGAGGTGCCTATCTGTGCCAGCACTGGACCAAGCGCTGGGGACACAAAGAAACACACACCATGGCCACCGCTCTCAAGGCGTTCACAGTCTAGTGGAGGAGACGTAACGACAGCTTTCTACAAACAAGATACACGCGGGGTAAATCTCAGACAGTCAACAGAAAGAAGCACCAGAATTAAAAGGAATTGGGAAAGGCTTCCAGTAGAAGGTGGAGTTTTAGGTAGGACTTAAAGGAAGCCAGGATGGGAAGGTGAGAAGAGAACATACCAGGAATAGAGTTGGGAGACGGAGTGTCTTGTGGGAGGAACGGTAAGGTGGCCAGTGTCTCTGGGTACGTGGAAGAGGAGATAATGTGCAAGGAGACTGGGAAAGTAGCATGATGGCGTGAGCAAGTTACGAAGGGCCAACAGAATTTTATATTTGATCCTGGGGGTGATAGGGAACTACCCAGGATAGACTAGGATGTGGGGCAGGCAGACCCCCCCAGCAGGCTGTTGTAGTAGTCCAGGTGTGAGGTGTTGAGGGTCTGCACCAGGTGGGGACAGTGTCAGAGGAGGAGGGGGCATATTAGATGCTGCAGAGATGACGTCAGTAGGCCTTGGCACCATATTGGATATGGGGGGTGAGAGGGTGAGGAGACCAGAATGCCTCCTACATGTTGTGAGCCTGGGGGTGGATCCAGGGAAGATGGCTGCCCCATCTACAGTACTTGGGAAGGTGGCTGGGGGATAAAAGTGGTAAGGCCAGTTTGGTACATGTTGAGTTTGCTAAGAGATCTTCAGTTCCACATGGCCAAGAGGCAGTTGCAGATGCAAGCTTGGAGGGACTAAACCTGTTTGCTTTTCTCTTCTCACAGATGAGATGTCCAAGGGACTTGGCCGCCTCAAGGACATTGCCTTGGGAATGCAGACTGAAATAGAAGAACAAGATGACATTCTTGACCGGCTCACAACTAAAGTCGACAAGTTGGACATAAACATCAAAAGCACAGACAAAAAAGTCCGGCAGCTTTAGAGACAAATAAGGTTTTCTGTTCACTTGCCACAGAATGATTTTTCTTTCCTTCCCAAGACGTTTTCCAAAACCTTTGGGAGAATTCCATTTCACTACTTTAGTAAGTTACTGATTAAGCCGTGTCTGCAAGTGGTACAACAGTGCGAGTCTTCTGAAAGGTTATTTAGCTGGGATGGACAGAAGGGAGGGCAGCACTGAGTGACCAACGCCCCGTATGCTTTGCTGCAATGAGAAGAAAGTAGCTCTGGTTCTCAGTTTAATGAAAAGACATAATCATCCTAGGAAACATGGAGAGCTTCTCACAATGCTATTTGTCAAAATTGGAGGCCTGCTGCGCTCGCCACCCAGAGGCATCAGACCTGAGTGGAGTCCCAAGCCCCGTTTGTCATCCCCCTTCCTGTTGGAAATAGACTTGCCTCCTCATCTGGACTTTGCATCATCCTGCAGAGATTGAGGTCCTGAGCTGGGGCCTCTCCCCTTCTGTGCTTAGCTGATCTGTCCTCTCTGCTCCTCCCATTGGCCCTTCCTCCCTGAGCAGTGGCGTCCGTGATCACTGTGGTTCTGAAGACCATGTGCCTTCTTCCTCAACGCCAGTGACTTTGCCAGTTGAACCATTCTTTCACATGCCCTGGCAGTCTTCAATGACTGCCTGCCCAAAATAAGCAGACTACCCTCTGTGCCCGAGACTATCTGGCTGAGGAGTGCTTGGAGCCCTCCAAGAGTCTGTGTGCCATCTGCAGGCTTTTCCTTTCCCAAGAACTGGACAGAAAACTCTCTTTGTACCATCTTATTCCCTCATCCCTGCACGCTAGCCCTATTGGAACAAAGTCTTAGGATGTTATTGCATGTTTACACAGTTACAGTGCTCTGACTGATCCCCTCTTCTCAATCTCAATTCATGCAATCAGTCTATAACAAAAAGAAGATTTGAAAAAATATGATTTGACTCATAAAGAGACGAGTCCACTGGCAGGAAAAAGGCAGACAAATCTTGTCCCCAGATCTCAGCTTCAGCTGGACTTTGTCTGTTCCCCCTTTAAAAGGTCACACTCCACCACAGTCCTCATCTTGGGTAAGGATGTGTGCACCAAGACGAGGAGAATCCAGAAGAAATCCAAGGTGCCCCCAGGCCAAATGAGGCCTGGGGCCACCCTGTTGAGGCAGAGAAGTAAGCCTGTCAGTAATTCGTATGTCAGTAATAGTTACGCCTGTTAGTGAGGATAGACCTGCTGGATTGGAGCCGGCCCCTTTCTCATTGAGTCTCTGTTTCTTACATTCAGTTCCTTGGTAACCTTGCCATCTTAGGTGAGGAACTGTCTCTCTGTCTCTCTGTTTCTCTCTCTCTCTCCCCTGCCCCACCCTGCCACCTATCTAGACATAGAGCAGTTGGGTGTGTATGTCTCTCTCTGTATAGATCTGTATCTATAAAGAGACACAGACGCACCTACCCAATGCTGAATGACACCAACTATGTGTACTGGACCCCCTACAAAGAATCGTGGATCCAGTGAACTCAGTTCACTTTTTGAGCATTGAGGGAAAGTGATTTCTTAAATAAAAGACACTCAGCTGGGTGAGCACCTGCTTTGTTCCAGGGTAAAACCAAGCAGTAAGTCCCCTTTTAAAGCAGCTTATTTCTCAGAAGCCTTTTTTGGAGGATGAAAGTCCGCTCTCATTATGAGATGGAGTGAGAGGATTTCTTCTGCCCCTGGTGCCTGCTACATCTTCACGTGCTCTGTGCCTTTCTGGCCTCTGGCATTTTGATCTTTGCCACCTTCAGAGATCGGCCCAGCAGAGAGCTCTCGTGAGCACCTCTGGTGCAGCAGGTCTTGGGTTTTCTCACCAGTGGTGGTGGAAAACCCAGCAGCATGACATTCTGGAGAGCTGCTGTTTCCCTAAGCTGCTCAGGGCCTGGGGGCAGCCTCCTGATGGTGACTGAAGAGAGAAGCCAAGTGAGAAGGGAGTTCAGTCACATAAGTGAGGTTCCCTATTGCTTTGCTCCAGGCTGCTAGTATGGAAGCGCCTCCTCCAGTTAGCTCACTCACTGGTGGTTCCAGCCAGACCAGGGTGGCTGAGCTTGGGGGGGGGGGGTGCGCCAAAGATTCTAAGACTGCACTCAGACCTGGGTTGAATTCCCTTCTCCTAAGGTTTGTACCAATGCCTTTCTTGAGCCTCCTCCACCTCACCTGTTTCTGCCTGCTGGTTTTTCGTAACGAAGGGGATGGGTCCTTACACCTTGGGCTTGGAAAAGGCATTTTGAAGGCAGCCAGTCACTCCTGTCTGTCAAGGAACAAAGTGCTAAAAAGCTAACATAGATCATTAAACACAGCCAGTGACGAGTAGACAGCCTAACCCCTCCTGAAGAGTCCTCGAGAAGGTGGACATCTCCTGGGATAGACTTTCCAGGTGATCACCAGTGAAGGTGCCATTGTGTCTGCCTGATAGTCAGCAGTGGCCAAAGACAGGCACAGCCAAAGCACATCCCAGTGCCAGGTGTCATCCAATTTGGAAAGAAGCACAAAGGAGGCGCCTGTGAGGCTTCAGAAGCCTTTTCACCTGCTCGCTTTGATGGAAATGCATCCATAAATGGTTCTCCTAATCTCTCCAACAAAGTTGGAGAGGTTTGGCTGTGTCTGAGTCTCAGGATCAGACCCTGTTTGAGGGCATGGGGGAAGAATTGTGGGTGCTGACCGTGGGACCCAGCCACAGGTGTGTTCCTTGTAAGACATCAGGCAGCTTACGGCGCAGCCAGACAGAAGGAATTTTCCACAGAGTTATGCAGGAACACAGACATCAAGGCAAAATCACCTTGGCAAACAGCTTCCCCAGGCTTCATTGCTCAGCCACACACAAGGCTCCTGTGGATTTCCTGCCCTCCCTTCTTCCAGAAGACAAAGGCTAACCTACCACAACCCAAGGGAGTCAGGCTGTGTTTGCTTCTGTCTCCTGCCACCTTGCCTGAGTTCAATTGCTGTGCCCCCTTGATTGTGCTGAGAGGTTGTTGAACATGGTTTGTCACCTGAGTTAGGGCCCCTCAACAAAAGCGACAAATGCAGCTCCAGCCTGAAGGGAACCTGACGTCCATACTGAGCTGGAAACAAACTGCCTTTGCAGAAGTGGCTTATCTTCTAGAACAAAGTGGCTGTGAACTTTCCTGTCCTTAGGTTGGCTTTGAAATATGCTGCCCAACTGATATTGACATTTCTCTTGAAAAAAGACTGCTTTTAACACCCAGCCAGTACAAACCTTTCTGTGCATCCCCTGGAAAAGAACACTTTGATTTGAAGGCAAGAATCTGAAAGATTCAGATCAAAAGGCAGACATTTAAGGACGCAACTAATCTTCAGTACCTCTCACTTGATTTTGTTGATCTGTTATTTTAATGGTAAAACCATACCAATTTGTTACTAATCTCACATTTAACAGAAATAGAAATCCTTTCATGGAGACTTAAAAGCAAAAAGCTTTGTTTTAGCAATTTCGTCTGTAAAAATTGAAATGTTACATCATTAAAAATGCTTGCTCTACAGGAAGGCAGATGTTTGGCTTTTCATTGTGTGAGTCCTGTCCACATCATTAGAGTCGTTTTCACAATTCCTGCTAGATTAGGCCCTAGGTTCAATAACAATTCATACACTTACTTAGAATCACTCCGTTGTATACAGAGATCTATCTTACCCAATAAGGAAATAAGAAAGGAAGGGGATAAGAGACATGGGGGAGAGGTAAGATAAGGGAGGGTGGATTAAGGGAGGCAGTAGGCAGAAGCAAAACAGACTTTTGAGGAGGGACAGGATGAAAAGAACACTAAGCAGAAGAAAATAAGGTGGAGGGACATCATAACACTAAATGTGAATGGGACGAACTCGCCCGTGAGACAGAAGCAGAGAGCAGAAGGGATCAGAAACCACAGTCCAGCAATACACTGTTTGCAAGGGACAGAAAAACAATTAAAGGACTGCAGCAGAATCTTCTGTTTCAGCTGAAGTAAAATCAAGGGTAGCGATCATGATCTCAGACAAAGCAAAAACAAAAATAGACATAGTTAAAAGAGATAATCAGAAAGTACATGTTCCTATAATGTACCATAGACATTGAAGTGATATCAAAAATTTTTACATTGTTTCTCTTATAAAGAGAACTTATAAACATAACTTTCCCAATTGATAAATGGTCAGAATATGTGAATGGGCAGTTTGCTAAAAAAAAAAAAAGCTATAGTCATGAGAAAATACTCTAAATCACTATTGATTACAGAAGTGCAAATCAAGGCAACTGAGGTGCCACATCACCTATCAGAAATGTCACACTGGAAGGGATGAGGGAAAATAGGGGCACTAATACACTGTTAGTGGAGTTGTGATGGTTGGTCCAACCATTGTGGAGGACAATTCAGCGCTATGCCCCAAGGACAGTAAAACTGCCAAACTCCCAAAGAAGATTAAAGGAAAAAGAATGGAATAGGATATTCTGTAAGGCAAAGGAGCTTGGATTACAACCAACGATCACACCTACCCAGTGAAAATGAGCATGATCTTTCAGGGGAGGAGATGGATAGTCAACGAAATAGGGGACTTCCAGACTTTCCTGATGAAAAGACCGGAGCTCAATAGAAAATTTGATCTTCAGTGGGAGTTAGGTGGCACAGTGGATAATAAAATGGAAAAAGAGGAGATCAATGAATTGGGCATACAACTAAAAAACTAGAAAAAGAACAAATTAAAAATCTTCAATTAAACACCAAATTAGAGATACTGAAAACCAAAGGAGAAATTAATAAAATTGAAATTAAGAAAACCATTGAACTAATAAATAAAACTAAGAGCTGGTATTATGAAAAGACCAATAAAATAGACAAACCTTTGGTTAATTTAATTTTAAAAAAGAAAGAAGAAAACCAAATTACCAGTATCAAAAATGAAAAGGGTGAACTACCCACCAAGGAAGAAAATTAAAACAATAATTAGGAATTATTTTGCCCAACTATGCCAACAAATTTGACAATCTTAGTGAAATGGATACATATTTACAAAAATATAAATTGCCCAGATTAACCAAAGAGGAAGTAAAATACTTTAACCCATCTCAGAAAAAAGAAATCAAGCCATTGATGAACTCCCTAGGAAAAAATCTCCAGGGCCAGATGGATTTACATGAATTCTATCAAACATTTAAAGAACAATTAATTCCAATACTATATAGACTATTTGGGAAAATAGGTGAGTCTTACCAAATTCTTTTTATGATACAAATATGGTGTGATACCTAAACCAGGAAGAGTCAAAACAGAGAAAGAAAATTATAGACCAATTTTCCTAATGAATATAGATGCAATAGTTTTAAATAATATTAGCAAATAGATTACAGCAACTTATCACAAAAATAATACACTATGACCAGGTAGGATGTATACCAGGAATTGCAGGGCTGGTTCAATATTAGGAAAACTATCAGCATCATTGATCATATCAACAATAAAACTAATAGAAACCACATGATCATCTCAATAGATGCAGAAAAGGCTTTTGACAAAATACAACACCCATTCTTATTCAAACACTAGAGAGCATAGGAATAAATGGAGTCTTCCTTAAAATAATAAATAGCATCTATCTAAAACCTTCAGCAAGCATTATATGTAATGGGGACAAGCTAGAAGCATTTCCAGTAAGATCAGGGGTGAAACAAGGATGCCCATCATCACCGCTGTTGTTCAATATCGTACTGGAAACGTTAGCGTTAGCAATAAGAAAAGAAAAAGAAATTGAATTTATTAGAATAGGCAAAGAAGAAACAAAGCTATCACTCTTTGCAGATGATATGATAATATACTTAGAGAATCCTAGAGAATTGAGTAAAAAACTACTTGAAATAATCAACAACTTCAGTAAAGTTGCAGGCTATAAAATAAACCCATGTAAATCATTGCCATTTCTATATATTACCAGCAAAGCCCAACAGCAAGAGATAGAAAGAGAAATTCCATTTAAAGTTATACCATAGACATTATAAAATATTTAGGAGTCTACCTACCAAAACAAACCCAGGAACTATATGAACACAGTTACAAAGCACTTTTCACACAAATAAAGTCAGATCTAAATAATTTTAAAAACATCAGTTGCTCATGGGTAGACCGAGCTAATATAATAAAAATGACAATCCTACCTAAGCTAATTTACTTATTCAGTGCCATACCAATCAAACCACCAAAAAATTATTTTATAGAGTTAGAAAAAATAATAACAAGATTCATTTGGAAGAGCAAAAGGTCCAGAATATCAAGGGAACTAATGAAAAGAAATTCAGGGGAAGGTGGCCTAGCCATTCCAGATCTTAAATTGTATTATAAAGCAGCGATCATCAAAACTACTTGGTACTGGCTAAGAAATAGAGTGGTGGACACAGTAGCCAATGACTATAGCAATCTATTATTTGATAAACCCAAAGACCCCAGCTTCTGGGATAAGAACTCACTCCTTGAAAAAAACTGCTAGGAAAACTGGAAAAGAGTATGGCAGAAACTAGGCATAGACCAAAATCTCACACCATATACCAAAATAAAGTCAAAATGGGTTCATGATTTAGATATAAAGGCTGATACCATAAGTAAACCAGGAGAACAAGGGATAGTTTACCTATCAGATCTATGGAGAACAGAAGAATTCATGACCAAACAGGAGATAGAGAACATTATGAAAAGCAAAATGGATAACTTTGATTACATTAAATTGAAAAGTTTTTGCACAAATAAAGCCGATGCAACCAAGACTAGAAGGAAAGTAGAAAATTGGGAAAGAATTTTTACAACCAGTCTCTCTTACAAAGGCCTAATTTTTCAAATATAGAGAGAATTAAGTCAAGTTTATAAGAATACAAGTCATTCCCCAATTGATAAATGGTCAAAGGATATGAACAGACAGTTCTCAGATGAAGAAATTAAAGCCATCTATAGTCATATGAAAAAATGCTCTAAATCGTTATTGATTAGAGAAATGCAAATCAAAACAACTCTGAGGTACCACCTCACACCTATCAGATTGGCCAACATGACAAAACAGGAAAATGATAAATGTTGGAGAGGATGTGGGAAAATTGGAATGCTAATGCGTTGTTGGTGGAGTTGTTGGTTGGAGAGCAATTTGGAACTATGCCCAAAGAGCTCTAAAAATGTGCATACCCTCTGACTCAGCAATAGCACTTCTAGGGCTGCATCCTAGAGAGATCATAGAAATGGGAAAAGGACCCAAGTGTACAGAAATATTCATAGCAGCTCTTTTTGTGGTGGCAAAAAAAATTGGAAATTGAGGGGATGCCCATCCGTTGGGGAATGGCTGAACAAGTTGTGGTACATGAATGTAATGGAATGCTATTGTGCTATAAGAAATGATGAACAGGCTGACTTCAGAAAAACCCGGAAAGACTTGTATGGTCTGAGGCTGAGTGAAGTGAGCAGAACCAAAAGAACGTTGTACACAGTAACAGCCGTGTTGTGCGATGACTAATATTGATAAACTTAACCCTTCTCAGCAATACGAGGATCTAAGACAGCTCCAAAGGCCTCATGATGGAAAATGCTATTCACATCCACAGAAAGAACTGTGGAAGTTGAATTGCTATTTTTTTTCTCTTCTGTTGAGTTTTGTTTCCTTTTTCTGATGGTTCCTCCTATCGGTTCTAATTCTTCCTTACAATATCACTAATGTGAAAATAGGTTTCATAAGAATGTATATCTATAGCCTATATCAGATTGCACGCCGTCTTGGGGGGGGGAGGTGGGGAGGGAGGAGGAGAAAAAATTAAAACTCAAAAGGTTATGGAAGTGATTGTTGATAAATCAAAATTAATTAATTAATAAAAAATTAGAATGAAAAAAGAAAAGAAGAGAAGGACCTACATGTACAAAAAACCAGCTTTGTTTGCAGTGGCAAAGAATTGGAAATCACAGGGATGCTTAATTGGGGAATGGCTGAACAAGTTGTGGCATAAATTGTGACGGAGTGCTGTTGTGCTACAAGAAATGGCGAGTCGGGTGTTTTCAGAAAAAACATGGCAAGACCTATGTGAAGTGATGCCAAGCAAAGTGAGAAGGCAGAGACCTTTGTGCACACTAACAGCAATGTTGTAATAGTGATCAGCCACGAACAACCTGGCTGCTCCAATCAATACAACGATCAAAGATTATCCCAAAGGACTCATGCTGGAAAAAAAGAACTGATGAACTCTGACTGCAAACTAAAGCATCATTTTCTCTTTTTTTTGGTGATATGGTGAGTATGAACATACGTTTTGCATAATTTCACAAGTATAATTGATAGCATTTTGCTCAGCTCAGCGGGTAGGGAAGGGGTGGGAGAGGGAGAGAATTTGGAACTCAATTTAAATAGAAAAAATGTTCAAAATAATTTTTTAAAATCAATATACTATGAGCTTCTCAAGGGCAGGAACTATTTTCACAGAATCCCAGAACTGGAATGACTTAAGCGTCCTCGATCTAGAACTGGAAGAACCAGAAGCTACTTAGTCCAACCCCTTCA